GGGGGGGGGGGGGGAAGGGTAAACTTTGTAGGAAAAATAGTAAACTAAATGACGATGAAGAAGGGGGTACAAATATTACTTAAAAGGTAGTTAGCAGGTAAACGAGATCTCTTCAACATCATATTTTTGAACGGCTTTTTTATTGTTTTGTTTTGTTTTGTTTTTTTCTCTTTTTTCTTTTAATTACTTCGATTCTCTACTCTGAAATATTCATGTTCTAATTATAAATTTATAAGAATACTTAATCTCAAAACAAATCAACCGAACATATTTTTTGTGCTACCACATTTTTGTACCCCTAGTACGAAATGCACGTGTGAAGTACGAACATTCCAACGCCTTCGTACGTGGTAAGAGCGCCTGCATTTCCAATAGCCCACTTCCGAGATATGCTTCGCTTGTAACGCACAAAGGTTTCAGTATGAGGCTACGTGCTAAATGCTCAGTCATTCGTGACAGGCGGTAAGAATAAATCTAATTTAGCACGTAGCCTCATACTGAAACCTTTGTGCGTTACAAGCGAAGCATATCTCGGAGGTGGGCTATATTGTAAGATTAACGTAGCATCATGTGTTGCGCGTTGCTTACTCCACAAACCAAATTTCTATTTTCTAAGCTATTTGCTTTATAAGAACGCCAGTGTTGGACAAGAACATGGAGTACGAAAAATAAATTCTGGAGAATCAGGCAGAAAGGTTCTAAAGAACAGCTAGACAAGATTCGAGAGTGAATTTACTTTCAACATTCAACATGGACCGCAAAGCAGAAATGTCATGGCTTTAAGGTACTCGAATAGGCTATTTATCTCATTGCTATTAAGGCCTAGAAGTCTATTATTCAATATAAGCAAACTTGTAGGACAGCAGAATGGAATTGCCTAAACATTTGAAGTTTTGTAGCCAACGTGGGGATTTCATTTTAAGACACTTAAATGGAGCTGTAATAAAAGGCCGAATGAATTTCACCAAAACCTCGACAAAACGAATGAATCAGCTCTTGCTTACTTGCTTGCTTGTTTTATACATGTATACAGCTATTTTAAGAAAGGTTGGTGAATGTTTTTGTATGTCGCATATAATATTTTTCAACGTTTCCTTTTAAAATGGAATATATGAAGCATGAACTTTGCATTTGTTTCTAAAGTTCGTTTCGGTCGTGCAATTGACATTCACACCGATTACCATTCGCCGTTCAACCCTTCAGCCTTTTTTGAAATCTGTGTGACGTACCTCTGTCTGGACCATATTGTTTCGTTGTGTTCTCATCTGGGCGACAAAACCATACACGTCTACCACCCCCTCCATTAGTCTTTGGTCCAGTAGGGAGTCGATGGCAATGAACGTACCAGTGCGTCCAACCCCGGCACTGAAAGAAAAATGAGCATTGTTTCAGTGATGTTATTTGCTATCATGTCATTTGTTTTTTAGTTTATTCATTCACTATTTTCTTTTACTCCGCTTGATCATTAATTATCAATCCAATCCATGCCATCCCATTCACCCATCCATCCACCCACCCATCCATCCATCCATCCATCCATCCATCCATCCATCCA